AAAAAAACATTTTACATATAAACCACCATTATTCATCCTTACTTTTACAATGCACTTTCGACTATACATCACAAGCAGAAATTGTCTATTCCTGTTTGTTCCCCTAGTATTTTACAATTCTATAACTTTTAAACAAAACCCTATACATTCAAAATGAGGAAGATGTATTTAATTGTTTTTTAAAATTATCCCGAGCATCCGCTTAGGAGACAGAGGAAGTGAGCTTTTCATGGGGAGTTTTCAGTTTTGCACAGGTTATCGATAGAGATTCAGGTGCATTTTGCGAGAAAAGTCGATTTGAAATGTTAACTGAACACATACATTTGCAAACTAAACCCAGTTTACTTTCTAGATGGTTACAGGCTCTATTACAGTCCTCTCACTGTCCCCTGGTACACAGCCACTGCGTCTTGTCAATTTAAAGATTGATTCTCGTTGCAGAGATCAGCTTCTCATAGATTAAAGGAAAATTACTGCTTGTGTTTTGTTCGGCGTGCCGTAACAACTCTTTCCATAAGGAACCCCACACAGCGCGGCAATATTCAGAACGAAGCGTAGGGACGCGTTTCCGGTGTTTTCGCCATACTTCCGTATGCGTCATCAAAAATCGCTCCTCGCGTCTCCAGTCTCCCTCCTCCAATCAGCGAGCAGTATTTATACCTTTGACCTTCCCGTTTCACCAATCACAGCAGAGCAACCGTAGCTCTGATTGACAGCGCTGCGGTCTAATGGAGACGTGACTTCAGCTTTTAGTAGCCAATAGGAAGTGGGCTAGGGCGGGTCGCCAGGCCAACCGGAGTATCGGGGGGTTTCTGGCGGCCATCTTGGATCTGTGGGTGATTGTCTCAGCCAGAGTAAAAAAAAAAACAATAAGAAAATTTACCCAATAATTCGGGTGAAAAAGGCTTGTGGAAAGGCAAGGCAAGAAGAAGACGGTGGCCGAGGACGTTAAGGTAGAGAGGGCGGAAAAAACCCGGGAAGGAGGGATGGGATGCTCTAGAAAACGGGTAAAACAATGAAGCGTCAAAAGCGGTATTTCTCTTTTCCCCAAACGAGATGAATTCCGCGCCGCTGGCGGCAGAGGGCCGTGTCGGCTCCGGGGGCAGGGGGTGGGCTCTGCTCTGCGGCTGCGGGACGTTGGCGGCTTCGAACTGCAGTTTCGCTCTGTTTTGAGCTCAGCGGGTTTTCATAGTCGCAGGCGAATTGCGCAGCAGCCGGATCGGTCTGGAGGCTGTGATAGCTTTCAGACGGATATTCGTGCTTCATAGTGTTCTCTGTAAAAGCAAGAGAAGTATTGCCTCAAGCCTAAGCCCATCTCCTGGTGTGTCTCTGGAAGACTGGTGCTGTTCTGTAGGGCGACTCGGTGTGGAAAACTGACCTGCAGAAACAGGTGGCTCAGCTAAGTTTTGGATTTTATTTTCAGGTTTGTCATTGTACAAGAAATGGGGAAAGTTATCATTATTTCTAGACCATTGAATACTAATAACATTACAGTAGAACAGTCCTGTTACAGTAGGAGCTACAGTCCCAGTGCAGTAGGACAGTCTGTTACAATAGGAGCTACAGTCCCAGTACAGTAGACCAGTCTGTTACTGTAGGAGCTAGTCCCAGTACAGTAGAACAGTCCTGTTACAGTAGGAGCTAGTCCCAGTACAGTAGACCAGTCTGTTACAGTAAGAGCTACAGTCCCAGTACAGTAGTCTGTTACAATAGGAACTACAGTTCCAGTGCAGTAGACTAGTCTGTTACAGCCCTTTAAAAGAAAGCTGTAGTGAAAGTCTAGAGAAGTGGTTGCTTCCTGTCCTGTAGCTGTGGCCTGTGTGTCTGCTCTGACCCCTGTGTCTCTCAGTGACAGACGGAATGAAGACAGCGCCCTAGTCCCAGAGCCATGGCTGACAAGAGAAAACTACAAGGTCAGCAGACCGGTGTTCGCTGTTCCCTGTCCTCGTGAGGCAGCGCTGTCGCCGGCTGTGTTAACGCTGTCTCTCGCGCAGGTGAAATAGATCGATGTCTGAAGAAAGTCGCGGAAGGCGTGGAACAATTCGAGGACATTTGGCAGAAGGTGAGCGAACGGCGCCGCCTCTTCAGTGCTCGGGTCCCCGTCATGACCTCGCCCGGACTAACCTCTCGGCTCCTCTCCCAGCTTCACAACGCAGCCAATGCTAACCAGAAGGAGAAGTATGAGGCTGACCTCAAGAAGGAGATTAAGAAGTTACAGGTGAGACACTCTCTGTGGACTCTGCTGGTACCCGGGACAGTGGAGACGGCTCTCTTACACCCCTCTCTCTCCCTGCAGCGGCTGCGAGACCAGATTAAGACGTGGGTGGCATCAAACGAAATCAAGGACAAACGGCAGCTGGTGGAGAATCGCAAACTAATTGAGACGGTGAGGGAATGAGGTTGGACTCTAGACTCTTCTAGTCCCTGTGGACACACTGACACAGCCCAATCACAGGGCTCTAGACTCTTCTAGTCCCTGTGGACACACTGACACAGCCCAGTCACAGGGCTCT